CACAGAGTATACTTACCACGGTTTGCCTCAGGAGAAGCTCAGAATATTTCCATGCATTCTCCTAAAAATATCACTATAAGGTTCAATGAGACTTCCCTTTCCATTCCATCTTAATTTTGCAAAGCCTCAGGTTCATTGCATCACAGACAATGATAAATGATGATAAAAGTTAGTTAGATTTTATTGAACACTATTATACACTGACACTGTGATCAAAAATTTGCATGCATTATCTCACTGTATCTGCACAAAATGTAAAACAGGAACTGTTATTTACAGGAAAAGTGGGTCAGGTCTGGGAAGGGTAAGTCACTTGCTTAAGAACATACAGACAATAAATACTGAGAGGAAATTTGAACCCATGTTGGTAGAACTCAGAAGCCATTTTTAGTTGGGTATGTGCATATTTAAAAGTGTAAGACTAACTAAATGTTTATCTTGTTTGGTTTCTTGAAAGATTTTCAAAAGCATTATTTTGAGTGATTATTTACATTCATTCAAAATGTAAGTAGAGGTATATATAACCATAGGCAAACTTAGAAATTATAGACTTTATCAAAAATGGTGGCTTTTCTCATAGTTTTGTTTTCTTTCCCAAAATAATTATCTGCTGCACAAAAACAGATATGAAGGCAGTTACTTGGTTATTCATGCTAAAAATCCATAACAGAATTTTTAATGAGAAACACATATATTGAAATTATTAAATATCACAAATCCTGAGGTTTAACTGCAGCACAATTCTGAAGCAGGAAGAAGCATTCCTGAGACAGCAGATTCAGCCACAATATCCTCAGCTTTTCTTACCTGGTGCCTTCTACCTGAAGATTGTTTTCACAAAAGGATGGACGTGTAGTATTGATGCTAACTGATGCTAACGAAGAAATTGACAGGCACAGCCTAGTTTCGATCATGAACCCATTTTAATTTCTCCTAAGAGAAAAAAAAATGAATGTAAGTGGCCACGAGCTTTGTAGGGGACACCTAAGCAGACTGTGATACTGAGGCTTCCCTTTGCCTTTCCTGGAGGTCGCCTCTAGGCCAAACATTACGATTTAAAATGACATAACATGACCTCATGAATAATTTGAGGTCTAACTTTGTGAACTTCAATAACAAAGTTTCATTGAGTTCCACAGAATGAAAGCCAGATGTAAGTAATTTACATTGTGGTCACGTATAAAAGGAGGCGATAAAGGGAGAAACACCACCTGGAAGGCGAAGACCAACAGTAGCCATGTAATGGGCAGTCAGTGTACATATAGGTCACCTGCCTCTTTAAAATGTTTGACACTTCCAGTGGACAGCAGCTATTCTCTCTCTACAAATTGTTTACTTTATGAAACACAAGCTATGAGAAAACCACAAGTTGTGTTGAGATGAGGGGATTATCCGAGAGTCTGGAACCCTAAGAGACTTGTTCATCAGTGTCTAGAGAAGAGTTTGGGTGCAATTCATTTTGTTTTATGTGGTATTTTTTTCTTAGTAAACAGCTACTTTTATTTACTTAACTCAAGATTCTTAATGTTTTACCCTACCTTTAAAGCATTTTAGGTCTTAGGATCTTGACGAAATAAAGTTGTTTGCTTCTGTGATGCAAGTGACTAGTTAAAATGGGTTCCTTATATGTAGAATGAGTGGTTTCTATTAGTTGCTTATTAAACTCTTCTAATTCTGGAATTCACACATGCTGTGAAGACATTATACACAGGTGGAAAGAGGGATTATTCATGTTGCTTCTTCCATCATTATCACATGAGGGATTCTCTCATGTCTTTGAAATTGCAACATGGAGAGACTGGCAAATCCAGCACGCCAAAGCATTGACTGGTATAATTCAGAGGAAAGCAAATTTGAAAAGCTCATCTTTGGTTAGTATGAGTTAGCAGCTTTCTCCTGCACTCTTATTTTCTCCAACTGAAATAGAATTTCTTTGTGGATATTTTTAGATTGCTTCAACGTTGAAGGGCATGGACAGGAAGAGCGCATCTAAACCAGTGAGATTTGTCTTCCAATTCATCAGATGGCTATTTTAAAAGTTATTTCTAAAGGGAATATCTAATTTTCTATCTTCCGGTTACTTATGAAAAAATTTTTAAGTTTACATTTGGCACTTACGCCTCAACTTAGGACAGATTTTGAAAGTGTGATGTGGAAAGCCATTCTCTCATGAGCCTATGGAAGTGAAATAAGGTGATCTCCCTCAACTTCAAGATGGAAAAATGTCCCCAAAACCTTAGGAGAAAAGGACATAGCCACAAAACAGAAAGACCCTCCCCTTCTCCAGTTTAGCTTTTACGTGGATCAATAGCTCTGAAAGTTTACGTAGAAGACTGAAGACATCACAAAGAAACAGTATTTGAAGAGTAAGTTAGGTAAGTTTGAAGATGTAAAAAATAAATAAATGTAATCGAAATAAGATGCCACCGGGACAAGTGGAATGATCTGCAATAGATTGTATCATGCCCGAGGAAAGAGCATATTCAGAAAAACATTCCTATTTTAGGTTTTAGTGGGGGAATGTCTGAATTTTTAAGAAGCAAAATAATGACCAAAAGCTAATTAAAAGGGAAGGAAAACAATCAAAAAGTGAGATGGTAGAATTTTATTTTTGGAGCACTATCAATAGGTACTTTTCAAGAAGAGATTTGCAGTTTTTTTTAATAGGATAAGGCATCAGCAATCATTTTGTCAAAAAAGAGAAATGGGTGGGAAATATTTCTCCTAGATTTGGATGCAGATAAATTTTCTTTCCTGATAATTTACTTCCAATCTTGTAGGAGAGTATAGTGTTTTACAAGGACTTATAAAAAAAATTGGACTTAGTCTCAGAACTGTGTCATGTAATATACCAAATATATTTACTTCTTAATTAGATTTTTCTCATTTCAAACTATTAACACAGAGACAGTTTGCCTTTAACAATGCAAATGGCGTATAGAAAATAATGCATATATGTTTATTAGCACTATTTACAGTCCTTGAGATGATATAACAGATATTTCAGGGAAAATGTTGGTCTACACTGGCAAAACTAAAACATCTATCAGGCACTTTTCATAAGCAGAACAAAAGGCTTTTCCAATTTTATCTTTCTTCTTCCTTTCTTTCTTCCCTCCTTTCTCCTTTGCTTTCTTTAGAGCTTAAATGCTTATAACTGTCTTTTAAAGTAATTCAACGGTTTATCTGTACTATAAAAGCTTTTACATGCTTTATTTTGCACACTTTTAAGCTTATTTTTATTCTACTTTTATAGTTAGAGGGATCAAGTTCTTCTTTAAAAATTGAAATGCTTTGCTAAATTAATTTAGAACTCCTCTTACTTAAAATGAATGCCCTTTATATTGAGAACTGCTTTAACAGCAGATAACCTTGAAGTCAGGTCATTTCCATGACATGTTATATCCATGTTTATGCTAAAGGTTGAAATAAGCCAAAATCGTGTGAGCACATTGAAAACATCCTCTTAGGCATAACATTTAAAGCATATGCAAGGTTCTGTTGTCTGCTTTCCAAGTGATGTTTAGTATGGTTCAGGTGTTATTAACTTGAATTATGTTTCTATGCTCTGTACTCATTGTCCATGAATGTTTGAACATAAAGAGATTTCTTTTCTTAGAATGATAAACTTCAAAACTGTTGGCTAAATATAAGGAGGATACAGAGTCTGGTTGGCCTAAACATGAACAGATATAAAATATCTCCCATGATTGTCTCCAAATCTCATACTCTGTCCCTACTCACAGTGAAAAATATATTTTCAGAAAATAAATAATATTGTTACAAAGTTATTGTGTCTTTAGTTTTCTGAGCTTTAAGTTATTGCTGCATTCAGCAATAGAAGATAAGTGATTTAAAAGGCTACAGCTATGTTACAGGGTTTTGTTCTGTTTTGGTATTTTCTGGCTAGTGAAGGCATTAGCCAACTACACATTCTTTATCTGTAAGGTGAAAATGCATACACTGCATTGGCTCCCCGATAGCATTGTTAAGACTAATTGCTGTTTCCAGGTAATACTGAAAATTTGTGGTATAGTTGCATAGAAATAATAATGGGAATAAAAAACGTGTACTCTTCTTAGACGGCTAATGCTACTAATTTTGTTAAAAAGATTTAAGTCCACTAATAGTTGGGTTGCATAAAGACAGAGTCTTTAACAGAATATACATTATTGTTTCAGTTCTTAATAAAAAATAGAATATATATCTCAAATGTTCACCAAGGCAGATAAGTAGATTCGTTCCACACTCTGAAACTTACTGTGATATTTTTTGTGTGTCGAAAATAATATTCTTTATTCACTTAGTCCCAGGGAACATTACATAATTATTGTGCTATGCAAAAGAAAAGCAAATAAACAAAACAAATCACATAATGAAGACCTTAATGGTATTTAAAACCCCTCCTCCACTCCAAAATACAAGGAAGAGGAAGGAAAAGAAGGCAGGAGGCATATAATTTTTTTTAAGTAAACATAGCATGGTGGGCTTTTCTTTCGAGAAAATTCCCTCAATACGTGACTTTTTGTACTTTTTCTGTTTTCCGCCTGTCAGCTGGAGCGATATGGCTCCTGTACAAGCTGCTTGCACTGAAGGCTGCTCACGAGACATTCGTGTGAAATCCTCGCTGTGCTGCTCCCGGCTGGAGCAGTTAATAACTGGTTAAGCGGCATTTCCCTCAATGGCTGTTTTCCCCGGTCCAGCCGCGTCTCCCCAGTCCCACAGCTCCCGGTCCTCCGGATGCCCAGCTCGCTCCCGCGGCCTCCGCTCCGAGCCCCCCGCCGGCGCCGCAGTCCCGCCGCCGTGCCATCCTCCTCGGCACTGGCGACCGGATCCGCCGCGGCTGAAAGACTCCCGATGGGCGAGAGGGGCGAAGTGGAAACCCCCCCTCCCCCGGCGCCACCGGGCCCTGCGCCCTCCGCTGCCGCCCGGCGCGGGCTCCCGGGCGGGGCGCTGTCCAGCGCGCACAGAGTTAAAGGCATCATCGCAGCCATTAGAGGGAAAAGTTGCGGCGCCGCGAGCCCGGCGAAGTCCTCCGCCCGCCCCTTGCCCACTCCCCACTTCGCGAGCCGGCTCCGCGCCGAGGGAGGGCGGTGATCACGCAAGCCGGAGCGGCAGGCTGACGTGGGACGGGCTGCCAGGTACTGGAGGCAGCAGCCAGGCGGCGCCGCGCTTCTTCCCCGCGATCCCAGCCCGCGCGGCGCCGGGAGCCTCGCCGAGCCCCAGCCGGCCGGTTCCACGCTTCCAGAATCGCGGCCCCTTCTCCCCGCAGCAGCCCTCGCCGAGGCGGCGGCAGGATGCGCGCAGCGGCGCGCCCGGAGCTCTGAGCAGAGCCTGCCACCCACTAGCACGCCTTTCTTCCTGGGCTTTTCGGCTGCTGGCCACACTGATGTGACCCCCCTCCCTTTTTGGAATGATGGGGATCTTTTTGGCGTATGTTGGATTTGTTTTCTTTTCCGTTTTATATGTACAACAAGGGCTTTCTTCTCAAGGTAAGTCTGTGCTCAATGGCAAATACACATTTGCTTGCGCGCGCGCGCCTGTGTGTGTGTGTGTGCGTTTCCTACACTCAAAAAGAATGGACAGGCGGATGTAATAAGCTTCCTAGCAAATACCAGTGGGCTAAGGCTGTATAAACAGTGTTCTGTTTGACGATTTTCTTTAAAGTTTATTAAACTGTAGACAAGGTAGGCTGGAGTGAAATCTCGCTGGTGAGTGACAATGAGGTGGGCTCCCAGTGAGCACAAACACAGGGTCGTGTGCGTGTGTGTGTGTGTGTGTGTGTGTGTGTGTATGTGTGCGCGCTTTCTGTGTGCATGAACAGGGTAGCCACTCATGCATACATAATCATCGCAAACAAACACGGGGCTGGATATGGGGACCCTCCATTGCCAGTCGCTCTTCCTTGTGTAGGCAGACTGGGCTTAGAGTTTCCCTTTTCTAGGTCCGTGTGACTCCTTTTGTATGTGTGTTTATCAAAGGACAGGCTCCTCTGAGGACCCATAAAAAGGCACAACTTGCATGATAAGCAGCAGCAGCCGGGCGAACCCGATTGTTCAGGACTTCGCAGGCTGCAGCGGTGGTTTCAGCACCATGAACAGATCACATCTCTGCTGCCAGAAGACCGCATCACTGCTGCAAGCCGAAATGCCATACCCCTTGTGCCAGCTAGAACAGAAAAGTCCTTTTCAGATCAGAACGTCTCCTTAATAGCTTCCCTGTTTTAGGTATAAATATAGTTTCATTTCACTAGAGATCATTTTTAAGATTTCATAAAATGTTTAAAAGAGACCATGTCTCTCTTTAAAAAGGCGGGGGGGGGGGGGAGTGCAGCCACCCCAAATCATTTCTGCAGTACCCACAGCCCTCCTCTGCATACGTGTGCATTGTGGTTGTGCACTTCCATTGGCCACAAATCTTTCCAGGACTACTTTTAGGGAACCATCAGTTCTTTGCAAAGTGCCCCTTAGACAAGATAAGAACAACCCTGTTGGTAACAAGATAAGAGTATTTCATGTTCAAGAAATGCCTTTCGGAGGCAGGAAACATTTTATGTTTGCGAGTTTCACCAATGCCTTTTGGAGGGAGGAAACATTTTATGTTTGTGAGTTTCACCATGGTTTCATGAATCTGGCAAACCAGCGGTGTCAAGGTTGCTAATGAAAAGTCTGAGAAACATTTCCATAGTGACTTCTAAATAATATTTAATGTGAACTAAGCCTGGATGTGTGATCATTACATCTTAAGAGTGTGGCAATTCAAAATACAGTGACTTGATGGGAAAAATACAGGTTAATTTGGAAACACAGTTTATAAAGCGTGCAACTTGCTTCACTGATGCAGGCGCGTTTCGCTGGTGTTGCTAATAACTGTTTTTGATGAATCAGGAATGTTCATTTTGACAGATAATCATGATCCACTCTGTTACATGAAACATCCACTTAGTCGTAGATTGTTTAGAAACTTAAGAGGCAAGAGGCTTTCCTCATATATCAACTTGGCAGACTGTCTAAATTGTATTTCACTGAATCTCTCGTAAATTTTGTGGAATACTGCAATCTGACAAAAGGTATTTGGATCTACCTGCGGGGTTCTTGGCTAACAGAGTTATTGGCAAGCTTGTTAACCTTTCCATTATCTGGATTTGATCAACGACATAGTGATTTAGGTATGATACCAAAAGTTAGACAGGAAAGAGGCAAAGGAATGGGGCCTTGGGGAGCCAGACAAAGCCGAGGATGTCAGAGAGGGATTTTGTTGCTATTTAAGTTCAGGAAAAATGCAGCGAGTTCTCAAGGAAAGAGACGCTGGTAAGAGGGGTGTGGATATTCCAAAAGGATGCCTTTCTGTTTTGCAGCAAAATTTACCGAGTTTCCGCGGAACGTGACGGCGACCGAGGGGCAGAATGTGGAGATGTCCTGCGCCTTCCAGAGCGGCTCCGCCTCGGTGTACCTAGAGATACAGTGGTGGTTCCTGCGGGGGCCGGAGGACCTGGAACCCGGCGCCGAGGGGGCCGGCGCGCAGGTAGCGGAGCCCGCAAACCCAGCGTCTCCCCTTCGCTTGCCCGGTCCTAGGGGTGTCCAGCACTGGACTGGGGGCCAAGGTGCTACCAGGTCACCCCTGGGGACCCGCCCGGTTCTGTGGGAGCGAGCGACCCCCAGAGCTTCCGGGGGTGAGCGGGAATTTGTCCCGGGGACGCTAAGTTAAAACCCAGAAGGAAGTCCTGCTGCCCAGTCTCTACCAGTTAAACTGGGAAGCGCCTCCTCGCCTAAGTTCTGGTTGTTAGGAAGATGCCCACCTTGCTCCTACCGCCCTGCCACCTGCCGGGACGTCCACGAGTCCCGTTTCTGGACGCAGAGATGGGGAGGGGAATCGATGGGCGGCCTCCACCCCCCCAGTCCCACCCCCACTCCCTTCTCAGGGCGCCAGGCACTAGAGGGGACCCCAGTCCCCGGACTGAACGCCCAGAGGACCAGGGCGGCCAGCTCCTCTCACCTCCACCTCTAACAATTCCGTGGGGTGGGGGTGGGGGGATACTGGGAGAGAGGGAGAAGGAGGAAAAGAGGGAAGGGGGGAGGAGGGAGAGAAGGAAGTGGGAGACCGGGAGAGGGAGAGAGGAGAAAGAAGGGGGAAAGGGAAGGGGGGAAGAGGCAGAGAAAATGGGTGGAGGGAGAGGGAGAAGGGAAGGAGAGGAGGAGGGGAGGGAGAATTGGAGTGGGAAGCCGAGAAGGATGGGGGAGAGGAAGAAGGGGAAGAGAGGGAAGGGGAGGGGGTGGAAAAGAGGGAAGGAGAGGAGAGGGGAAGAGAGAGTGGAGGGGAAAGAAGGAGAAAGGGAAGGGATAAAGGAGAGAGAGGGAAGGGATAGAATGGAGAAGAGAGGAAGAAAGGCAAGGGGGAAAGAGGGAGGGGTGAGGAGGTGGGGAGGAAGGAAGGGAGGGAGAACTGGAATTGGAAAAGGGGAAGGAGAGGGAGAGAGAGAAGGGGGTGGGAGAGAGGGAGAGAGAGAATGGGAGGGAGAAGCCGGGAGGAAGAGAGGGAGCAGGAGGGAGAAAGGAAGGGAGAGGGCGAGGGAGAGAAAGGGATTGAAAGGGAGAGAAGTGAGAGAGGGGAAAGAGAGGAAAAGAGGGAGGGAGCGGGAGAGAGACGGAAAGAGAAGTGGGAGGGAGGGGAGAGAGAAGCAAGCCAAGTGAGGAGAGCAGGGACTAGGGGAGCGCGGAGGGCGCGGAGGGGATGGGGAAGACTGGAGGGAGCGTGGTGAAGGGAGGAGCGGGGAGAAGAGGAGAGGAGAAAAAGGAAGACAGTGGAGGAGGGGGGCAGGGGTCCCTGCAGGAGGGAGGCCGCGCGCAGCGTGAGGCTGCGCCCCGGGAGCCCGCCGGAGACTGTGCAGCGCGGGGCGGGAGGGCGGCCGGGACCAGGCGCGGAATCTCGTCCCGGGCTCTTCACCCTCACGCACGCCAGCCGCCCCGGCCCCGCCACCCCCCTCCGCGCCGCCCCCGGGGCCTGCGTTCGCACCCGGCAGCCCGCGAAAAACACCCCGCCGCGCCGCGGTCCCGGCCCCGCCTCCCGAGAGCAGCTTCCGCGCGGCAGGGACCACGCGGGGACGACGTGGGGTGCGCGGGGGCAGCGCGGCCGGGGCCTGGACGGGGGTGGGCGCGCGGGCGGGTCGCTCCCCGGACCCCAGGTCCCCCTGACGGCCCTGCCGGGGCCTCGGAGGCTGTGTCCGGCGCGCGGGCCGGTCGCTCCCCGGACCCCAGGTCCCCCTGACGGTCCTGCCGGGGCCGCTAATGCTGTGTCTGGCGGGCGGGCGGGCGGGCGGCCTGCGCGGGACTGAGCTTTCACTCCTCGCCGGCAGGTGGAGCTCTTGCCCGACAGAGACCCGGACAGCGACGGGACCAAGATCAGCGTGAGTACCGGGGCGCCCGGGGTCCCCAGACCCGGCTCGGGACGCGCGGCCCCTCCCTGTCCCCAGAAGACGTTGCCAGCGCTGCAGGGCAGCCGGGGCCCAGGCTTGCCTCACTAGATACAGACAAACGGAAGCACGTTTAGAGTCCCTAAATAAAATTATATCACGTCAATAGCTAAACATTCTAGACAATTGTTTGCTATCCAGAGAGGTTGTGTGACACTTTCCTCCCTTGCTTTTTGTGACTTACCTAACTGTAAGAGTAAATACAATGCCAATATCTACCCAAAATTAGGGAAATAATTATCCTTTAATAGAAAGTAAAAACACTAACAGGAAAATATTTCTAGGGAAAAAATATAAAGCATCCAACAGGATACGGAAATTGTGATGAAATTAAGCAACTCAATTTTGAATGTCATTTTAACACATGGGATGTATTTCCAGTGCTGTTATTCAAAATCATATAAATACGATGCCAAAAGGCAGTATAAATGTAAAAGCGTATTACAGGACCTACTGACCTACTGAAAATGTAAACTTACAGCTCTACTCTATTGCTTGTTACTTTTACTAAGTGTGTTTTAAAAAAATGAAAATCTTTGGCTCACGCCTGTAATCCCAGAACTTTGGGAGGCCGAGGCGGGTGGATCACGAGGTCAAGAGATCAAGACCATCCTGGTCAACATGGTGAAACCCCGTCTCTACTAGAAATACAAAAAATTAGCTGGGCACGGTGGTGCGTGCCTGTAATCCCAGCTACTCAGGAGGCCGAGGCAGGAGAATTCCCTGAACCCAGGAGGCGGAGGTTACGGTGAGCTGAGATCGCGCCATTGCACTCCAGCCTGGGTAAACAAGAGCGAAACTCCGTCTCAAAAAAAAAAGAAAGAAAGAAAGAAAATGAAAATCTTATTTTTTTTTACTATACCTCAAGTGAAGCCACACAGCCTCAGTTAATATTAATAATACTGCATCATTTGATAAATAGAAATGAAATAGGTATGAAATACAAAAGGCGGAAATCTGTTAAGTGTAAACATATTACTGTTATTTGTTTTTACGAATCTGAAATTCCAATGACCAACATTTTAAAAGAAAATGTATTTAAAGCTCTTACAAAAGCATAAAGTGGTAGATTGGAGTTAACGTCATAGCTAAAAATGTACAAATATTTACACAGAATCTGGTTCTGTGATCTAAATGTGTAATCTCAGCATGGAAGAAATAATAACAAAGATTAAATATCAACCATAAACTCTGATTTATAACTCATAAAATGTCTGACTTTTTAGAATGCTTATTCCTATATCACAAAAATTGTTGTTTTCCTACAATATTAGAAAAGCTTTATTGGTAAAATCTAGCTTTTTCTTAAATATTTTATTTTTCACATCCATATATATTAGGTAGATTTCTTGGTGACCATTCCACGTTCACCATTCACTGATCTCCCTATCATTTAAAGACCACTGACAAAAGTAGCCTCACACATCCTGAGCTCTGGATGCATACAATGAGAAACATGATTCCACATACAGCTGTTGACAGTATTATCTATGGCAACAGTGCATAAAAGTTAATGAGCGGAAGAGAGTTCTAGACACAGACTGAGGCAGAAAGTAGTTTGTTCTCTGTTTATCCACTGTGTCACCTTGAACATATGTTCTCAACCAGTAGTTACTAACTTTGAATTCCCAGGAGAGCTTTTATGAAATACTGATATAAGCTCTACCCTGCAGAAATGCAGGCTTAATGTTTCTGCGTTACACCACATGGCAGTATTTTCAGTAGCACCCCAGATTATTTTAATGTACACTCAGTGTTGGAAATCACTGACCCAAACACCCCGAGCCTCAGTTTACTCAATTACAAAATGAGATAATAAACTCTAAGTACCTCAAACTGTATTAGGAGATTTAACCCAAAATAAACATGTATTAGTTTCCATTTTATAGTATTCGCATATTTATATGTAATTTTATATACACATAAATACATATGGTTCAAATGTTGGAAATTATTTGTATATATACCCCTATATGTAAAAACAGATGAGTATCTCTCAGATTTTCCTAGTAATTTATGGCCCTTTGAAACGGTAGAGGTCAGTAGCAGAAAAAATAACTTTTGGCCTCCTTTTCTTCTTTTCTGTATTTTTCAAAATCAAGCAAATTCTTGAATCCCAAATGTCTTATGAAACCTATCATGTCTCAGTTATGAAGAATATATGATTATGTATCAAAGCTACCTGTTCTGATAAAGATGCTTATATATATAATATATTATATATAATATAAGATCATATATTACATCTAACATATATATCAGATATATGATCTTGTGGTTAATCTGAAAAACTTAGCAGAAATAAGAAAGCTAATTTCAGTTTTGAAAATCAAGCCAGTGTTTTATCGATGGCTTCCCAAATCCTGGTAGCATAAAGTGCCTATTTTGGCATGGGATACACATTTTGAGCAACAAGACTTCAGGTGATGTGAAGCTGTACCCCAAGCCCTGCCACTCCATGACTAGAGGCAAGACTGCATCTAAAATTTAAGAAGAAGAATGCTAATATCCCAGTGTCTTAACTGCACCTTTAGTAGTCATCCCAGTGTGGAGATACAAATGCATTCTCACTCAAGCTCGTGACCAACAGAACATTTTTGTGATGTCTCCGAGTTGAGGGGGTTAGTTTATAGCCCACGGGGAAAAAAAGAGGCTGTTTCACCTACAGAGTTGGCCTTATTGGTTCGTGCTTTATTGAACTGAGTTAAGCAGGCAGAGGCCAATCCCATGATAGAAAAATGACAGAGCAGCTTCTGGCTTGTGGACAGTGGGGGCCAAAGGCTGATGGAATCTGGCGGCACTCGCTGCATTGAACTAATTAGCCTGAGTCTGCAAGTGCAGTGGTTGGTGGAATAGGGTAACTAAGGCCTTCAGATGTGACATTAAGAAAATATAAAGCTCCTTCACTATGGCTATGGGGTCGTTAAGACCCTTTACCTTTCCAGTATTACCAAGTTCAGGGTAAAAAAGGGGAGCAAAAGCATTTGATGTAGCACTTTGTTTCTTTTCGCCTTCAATTTTTCAGACAGTGAAAGTCCAAGGCAATGACATCTCCCACAAGCTTCAGATTTCCAAAGTGAGGAAAAAGGACGAAGGCTTATACGAGTGCAGGGTGACTGATGCCAACTACGGGGAGCTTCAGGAACACAAGGCCCAGGCCTATCTGAAAGTCAATGCCAACAGCCATGCCCGCAGGATGCAGGCCTTTGAAGCCTCGCCCATGTGGCTGCAGGACATGAAGCCTCGCAAGAACGTCTCCGCAGCTGTGCCCAGCAGCATCCATGGCTCTGCCAACCAGCAAACGCACTCCACCTCCAGTCCTCAAGCGGTAGCCAAAATCCCCAAACAAAGTCCACAATCAGGTATGGAAACCCATTTTGAGCCTTTTATTTTACCACTCACAAACCCTCCACAGAAAGGTCAGCCATATACAGTAAACAGATTTGTGAATGATGGTTTTTAAAATCAGAGACCTAGATCAGTGCAAGTGATTGTGCGGGGTGAGCCCCGAGCCGGCAGCGATCCACTCAGAGCCCAGAGCATGTAGGTGCACCTGTGAGACCCTTAGTCGTACTTCCTTTCCAGGGCATCTGAGAGCTGGACTCTGCTTTTTTGCCTTTCTGTATTTATACATTATAAGAAAAATAAATCATATAATGTTGGTTACATTATAAATGCATGTTCATTTTCTCTACAGATTTATGTATCGATAATGACCCAAATTAAGAGGCTTTCACTTAATCAAAATGTAAATGAGAGAGACATGCCATATCATGCATTTCAGTGACCCACAGCTCTAAGCAGGACTATTCTCTAAGGGTTTTTGATTTTGAAGGAGAAACCTCAGCTGCCTGAGATGATGATAATGGAAGGAGGGAGCGGGATGGAAGGCAGTAAGTGGTGCAGAGATAAGGCAACTCCTGTGAATGCGCCTTCCAGGCCAATTTAGAAGCTTAGTCACAGGATTCTGAAGGCAGCTGTGCAAGTTAAAGCTGTTCTGAATGAAATTAATAGATGCAGTCATTCAGCCAATGGAAACGCATGGACATTTTAACCTTGATATGGAATATGGGATAAAGGCTTCTGGAATGAGCAGTGCCCTGCACAACCCTGAGGCCATCTGATTTCCTCAAACACATGACATGGGATGAAGGGAACACAAACATACCTACTTAATCCTTCTTTAGGTTTTTCCATTTATATTTTATCATTGAAGACATATCGATGCCAACATCAATAATGGAAAATTATATTGCTAATACTTAAGGTCTCTTCAGCCATTAAATTAAAAAGTCTGATCACTAGGATGATTTCTGATATCTCATATCATCCTGAACGTGCGCGCGCACGCCCGTGCACACATATACACACACACACGCACACACACAACACAGAAATCATCCTAATCAAATACATATGCTTTATAGATATTAAATATATATAAATACATATATCAAATATATATATAAATACATATATCAAATATATATAAATACATATATCAAATATATATATAAATACATATATCAAATATATATATAAATACATATATCAAATATATATATTAATATATATGAAGAAATACACATAGGTATGTATCCTTAAGTCCTTGCTTGTGAACAATGCTTTTAAAATACTGTATGCCAAAATAGGTTTCCTCTTAATGCTTTACTTCATAATGGATGTGATGTGTAGATTTGTAGGGAGGGCACCTGGATTAGGGTTCTCTGAGTTTGCCCTGCCTTACCATGTAGTTGAGCAACTCTCCTGACGTGTCTTGGTCATTGTAATTTATGTCAGTCTGATGACTAGATTGGCTTAGCCGCTCTGAAGCCCAATATGTGTGGATTTGTCTAAGTTTTTTCTTTATCATCCTTTCTGTTTCCCAAGTCAAAGGACAAAGGAATATAGCTGGAACATATGTGTGTGTATCCATACACATAAACACACAGGTATATGCTAAATGTAATGGTAACCAAATGATGTTTTTTACAACTTTGTAAGCATTATTTAAGGAAGATTTATTTAATGTCTTTGGAGTGATTTTCCCCTCTTTCTTCACATAATCACAAAGGAAGTTAGACACTACATGCAAGATTACAGAGTAGCCTCAGCAGACAATTTACAACCTAATTTGCAAGAACTCCAAATCATGGAAATGCAATTATTATCCTATATGGACCGTTCCAAGTTCGATGTCCTCGATCTGTTCTGCAGAATAAAATCAGACAGATCACCTATTCCAAGCGAAGAATCCCAAGGGTAGAGTGAAATATTTTATCTCTTTCTAGAATATTTTGTTATATTTTGGAGTTTAATAATGCAACCTAAAAACATCTATTTGATTTTCATATCTCTTCACACTGTGGTGAGGGCTAAATGATGAACTCTGGGTCTCTTCTAACAATTTTCAAATAAAAGTTACTGCTCTCATCCATTGCCAGTCTTAGATACAAAATGGCTTTTTCTAGAGCTAAAGGTAGAAAGAGAGAAAAAATATGACTCATGAAGTCTATATTCATGAAAAGTCCTGTTTACTAAAAATATCTGCTTATACCAAAGAGTAACCTGAAATATCTCAAAATATTTAAGTTCAGTGTTTCCAACCAGTGAATACTGGATAATATTTTTACATACTTCTATCAACATTTTCTAACTTCTAGTTCAGAGGCTGGGGCAGTCTAGCCACTCACTTTATTTATGTGTAAGTTCCTATACTTGCACAATTATTATATATAATTCAGTATCTGGGGTGGATATTTATATATTATATTCACTGTAATACCCACATTCTGATTTATGATTTTTGCCTTACAATTTTCAGATTATATTCAAATAAAGCTTATTTTAATACCCATGCTTCATTTATCCATTCATTTATTCACCTTCCATCCCTCCCAGAAACTCACATAGAGACATAGGGACACAAACATGGAAGACACACTGCTCCTCAAAGAATTTGTATTTCAGTTTGCAAGAAAACAAAATATTTGTACACTCTATTTATCTTGCATCTTTATTTCATTATTCTATGAAAGGCAAGATGTGGTGAAGGCAGAAAAATCAAAATCTTGCTTTTCCAAGCCAATAGCCATATTGCATTAGCCTCTCACCTTTTATTGTTTGTTATGAAGAGGCATCCTTCATCCACTGAATATGGGACACTGTCATATCAACCTCTGTCACAAAGAGCTGGCCTGTTTGGCCCTTTATTTTCATCATAATTTTTGACTTAGTTGACTAAATTATTTAGACCAAAACACTCACCTCTTAATTCATGCTATTTTTCTGTCAAAGAATTTCTGATTCCACAAAGGAAAACATATTAGCTGAAAATAATTTTATGCAAAATCTTCAAGTTTCTATACAATTAATTTAAGCAGTTTTCTAGAGCAGAGATTTACATCAATAGAAAAAGAAGGGAAAGACAGTCTATGACCCATCTACTTATCACAAGATAAACTTAACTGTTATTTCATATGGCTAGTCCCATACTTTTTCCAGATATTTTTCAGAAGTTTTTGAGCATGTGACTTCCCCTCCCTCTTGAAGTTGTTTCTTCTTTATCTTTATAAATTCTTAACTTGTAAAATTATTTTAATTCTACCTCCATTTTGTAATCAACAATTAAAATATTGAAGCAAAACAGTTAGGCAAACAGATCAACAAAACTTGGCTTTTGAATACTCTCCAGTTTTGTGTACCATGGCCAACTTAGATGACATCAAACCTACTCCCCTCTGCCGCCTTTTTTTGGCTCTGTTTGCAAGAAACTTAGAAAGAGGAGATGCCATTAAATGTGATGTATCGGGAAAGCAACACATGGAGTTGGAAGCAGAAGAAATGTTCTATAGATGTTCTGAGAAGGTGAATTCCTGCTTCTTGCTGGAGGAGTCAGGGAGGGCACCCTAGAAGAAGGGGCTTGGAGGCTAGGAAGAGTTCATACAAGCAAATATGGTGAAGAAAGACCTTTCCGAGAGGAGGGTGTCTCCAAGTACAGCTGGCTGTGGAAGTCCCAGGATCTTGACCAGGATGGAGGGGTTTAGATCCCTCTTCACAGATAGCACAGGACTCAGCAGCCCTCCACCATGCCCCCAAATGCTCCAATAAACGAAGGCATTCTCTACTTGCTTCTTCCTGTCTCATCTGGTGTCTCCAATCCTTCCAGAAGCCAAACGTTTCCTCCACAGACCACCACCTCTGCCAGTCCTTCCTTCGTTCTATCTTCATTTTTTTCTACCGACCCCTCCCCACCTTCCCAAGGGCACACAGAACTATAAGCAGCTTCCTGCTCCTCCTTGCCATCCTGGCCGTGGGTTGGCCCCTGGTGTGCAAAGCTGCATGCTGGCTCCAATAGGTCAATTGCCCAGGTCAGTCACACTCCCAAGGCTGTCATTAAGTCACTGGTGCCTCCTGCTTCCAGTTCCCCACCCTCTCACATCTCGTCCTTCCTCATCTCTAGGCAGCCTTTCTCCCTTGATACTCCTTCCTGATACTCTTACCTCTCTTCTCTGCAGGCTGGGCCCTTATTGACTGGCTCCTAGCATTCCCTTCTCTCCTTTGTTGGCCACCCTCCACTAAATTCCTCTGTTAAATATACTTCTTTTCCCATTGTCAGCTCCCTGATCTTCTCATTCATTTCCATGGTTTTGACTGCTAAATTTTCTTAGAAAATTGTCCATTCATCTTTGTACTTCTGCCTCATTTCTGTAGACCCAGACTCATGTTCACTCTTGTCCCCAAAGCATCTCCATGTACATCCTGCAAGAACTGCAGAGGAGTAAGGACGTCTGCACACTTCTCTCCATCCCACCCATTGAAGTCTGTTTTCCTTCCCCTGAGCAAAGGCTGGCTGGCCTGTGACCACGCTGTGTATGTACCCAATAAAGTATGAAGTGAGCGGTGCCAATTCTACACCTATCCTTTACAGCACCTGCTGAGCCTTTCTGGAAGCCAGCCACCATAGAAGCAGTGCAGCCACCTTACTGAGTGAAGCCCAGCCAGGACCGTAGGTGTGCAAGCCAGGAGGTGGCCTTGGGCATCGGGTCACTCCAGCCTTCCTCCGGCCGCAGCTCCAGTTGCTGTCTCATTGCACTGCCCACCTAAGCACAGACAGCACGCAGAACAGATGATCTGTCATTTTAAGGCACTAGGTTGTAGTGAGGTTTGTTTCACGATTGATACCCAGATCAGACCCCTAATACTCAAATATTCAAAACTGAATTTATCTCGGCTTTCTTGCCAGAAAAAGAAATGTTCTTCCTGCCGTGTTCCCAAGCTCTTTTAACAGCCATCCATCTTGAGGAAGCATTGAAAATGTTCTCATCTCTTCAGTCAGTTGCCACACTGAATTGTATTAGCA